TCAGAGTCTGGAATCTGCACTAGCAGTATCACTTCAAGATATTAAAAGAAAGCATTCCAACAACTCTTGTAGCTCTTTTACTTTCTTCACTTCACTCAATCCAAACATGCCAGTCAATTTTACAGATATTTTAAGTGGGAGGGATATGGCGAGTTGTTTGTTTGGAGTCAAAACTTCTCAGATAGTCACATCTGGGTCCTATGCACACATAGACCCATCCTAGCACAGATTTTAGATACTATCTGTATTGGCTAGCATGACCCTTCTGCTATTGTTAGGAGAAAAATAAGTGGAGAGCTTGTGCCCGTTCAACTGCCTACTGCAACAATAAAGTACAACTGTGAAGACTGGAGAACATTAAATCCATTTAAAAAATCCACATTTTTAATTATACACACACGCATATATATATTTACGTGGACTGCATGTGTGTATCTGTGTACTGCTGACAGGAAATATCCATGTAGCGTAAGTCAGCACAGATTCTGATCCCCTACTCGTCACCATATCTTTTCAAATTCATCACATGAAATATTGCTGGTTAGAAACTGCGATTGCTGCTTTTCCCAGGATCAGTTTAAGGATATTTACAGACTAGGATTCTCTTAGAGAAACAGAAGGAGGATGGAGAAATACAGAATCATAACAATTCTAAATAGTACGTATACATGCAAGATACAATACGTAAATAAGACCTCTTATAAGCCAAAATGGTGCATCACTGAACATCTGTTTCAAACTACACACAACTGAGGAGTAACTGCTGAGGTTCTTTGAAACTGAAGGATTTTAACAAAATTAAAAGGACCAAATGATTCATTTTCTAGAGGTTTTAATTCCCCATTCTTGCACACTGACAATCATGCAAGTTACAAGATTCAGTCATGGGGTTTAAATTCAGAGAATTATTTTGTTCCTAATCATTTATAAAACTTCTTGGAGGAGGTCAAGAACATAAATATGTCAGAGGGTTCTCAGCAGAAAAAGTCACAAAATGGAGAGCGAACTTCAGATAGAAATTTCCACATTTCACACACGTCCTTTAGGCAGAGATTAACAACTTCCTCACTGTGTTGGTAAATGAATCCCAGAAATTTAGGCATTTATTTCCAGGCTTCAGAGACACCCATCGAGTCTCAAGAGCTAGCCTTCCCTTAAGGAAAGGAAAGGAAACTTTGGTCTGCCTGAAGTGTACACAGCAGTTCACATACTGCAAGCAGTGGCTTCCTGGCTAGCAAATCCATTAGCACCGAAAGTAATAAACATTGCTGGCAAGCATTTTATGTGCAAATCAACACACTGAATCCAGTCCAGTATCCGTCACCTTGAAGTCATCTCTCCTGGCAGACACCACCAGAAGACAGCCATCCCGCCATACCTAGGCACAGAATTCTGTATCTCTGGGATGCTGCTCTGCCCAAGCACTTGCCTGGCCTGATTCTGAAGATGATGTTAAGCTGGGCTTCATCCATTTCGGTTAGTAAGGAAGCCAAATTTAATTCATCAGAGTTGCTCCACCACTAATAATCCTCTCAAAGTTCTTTAACCATGGCGAGCTGGCATATCTCAGGCTGTTCGTAGTCAGAAAATCTATGCAAAGGGCTAGTTCCAAACAGATTGTACAGTCACAAGCATCAGAATCTCAGAGGACACTTTTCATCAAAACTCAGCTGAGCCTAGACACAAGCAGGATCTAGACTGAAGCCTACGCTCTTGCAGCATTCCGATCAGATGACAGGAAAGTTAAAAGGTCTAATCATCCAGAATGGGAATGCAAAGTGGAGCAGAAGGAAAGCAGGGGGTGTCTCAAGAATTGTTTCCTAGCTCCCTTCAGCTATATTTACCAAAAGGGATTCTGTTGAAGGAGTAACAGTCCTTTAATCCCTTTACTATCTTAACCTTTTAGCTGCCCTTTCTGTGGAGGCTACATCTCCAAAACAAATCTGACATCAGGAAATACTGCACAAAAAAAATTAAATCTGTCCAAAGGTGGTTAGAAGGAAGCAGGATCTGCCATTTATTTCATGACCCACGACCCAGGAATTCACACCTATTTGATATGGGCTAGCACCTACAGAGTAGCACAGAAGGTACCCTACTTCTTCAAGGACAACTGACAAAGACATTATGGCTGAACAAAGTAAGATGGTCAATAAGCACTCCAGTTACACTGAGACTCATTCACAGTCACAATTCCTTCCTAAATTTACCACCACATCACCTTCTGATTTCTCATGATATTCCTCAGCCACGTGTGAAACAGCTCAGAATTTTACCACAATCACCAGGTACGTCTGCTGCTGAAACCATGGTGCTTTCCCCCTTCATTCAGGCTGGCCAATGCCATGGCACTGTGTTTTAGGATACTGCCTTTCTAAGGACAACTTTAGCAGGAGTGGAAATATCAGTAGGAGCACTCAGGCCATTTAAAAGTTTTTAAAGAATAAATGAGCTAAATTCCACACTAAGTGATGACACTCTTGCAGGTTAAAACAATCGGTTGCTGTTCCAAATGGAGGTACCTGTCTTTTTCATGTCTTGGCCTAAACTACTGTCCAGTACATACATGATGGACTGAAACCACTCCTATGAATAAAGAAATTTTTTTTTTCCTAAAAGACAGACTTTTCCTAATATGCTTTTTCTCTTGACCACAGTTGACATAATCCCAACACCATACAAGATTCACTCTCCTTCTCACTTCATTTAGTACCCATGCAATCTTTTGATTCATGCTTCTTACATCCTCTCAGGGCACATTCTCTGCTAAAGCACAAACTGACACACTGAACAGACTCTTCAGGACCTGTGATATGGCTCTCTCAGGAATGAGACACTGCTTTTGCCACAACTACATTTCAGAGAGAGCTGGCTCATCTCCCTGCACTGCTGTAGCCTGGGACAACACTAAGGCAGTTAATTTGCAAAGAAAGAATTTATCCTGACTCACATTGTCATCCCAACACTCCCCAAATTCCTCAGACTGAAGAAAAAAAAAATACAGAAGGCACCCCCTGCCGTCCCCAGAAAGCACTCTTCAGAGTAGCAAGTTCACTTTAATCAGCGGAGGCAGCTTAAACCCAAGTTCATGGCAGATCTAAGCTGCCACAGAAATGTGTTTTGAACAGAAACGTTATGGGAAGCTTCACAAAGTTGTTCTGTGATCCTAATATGAAGTAATAAGCTGTTTACCCAGCATGACTGTACTGGGATTAATTGACAAAGGAGGGGAGATTAATTGCTATTATTTCCCTGTCAGCTTCACTCCTCCACACGCACTCACTGATCTCTCAGACTGCTCCCAGCCTCTCTCTGTGCTAATGTGTCAGAACTAGCTCAGCTGAGACAAAAGTCCTTTACCAAAAGCAATATCCAGAAGAGCAACCTGCTTTAATCCCCTTCAAGTACTAATGAACCCAAATTCGATGCAACAGAATGAACTCTAGCACTCCTTTGCCCATCATCCTGTGTTTCTGTCAGCTTTTCTGCCCATGAGCATGCTAAGAATTGGAAAGGATTAAACGGATCTGCCGTCTGGCAAAGCACAATGAAATTCTGAACTCTCCGAGGGTGCGGGGGCACTGAAGAAGGAAAAGGGAACGGGGCACATATGTGAGTGGGAATTCTGACAAGTAGGATAAACTTTAAACCATCTCTTTGGACAAGATCTGAGTTCATGAGTACAGCATTGTAACTACTCAAGTAAGTAGCAATAAAGAGCTTAGATAAAAGCCTGTTTTCAAAGACAAAAGGAATTTTTCTTGGCCTAGCCTAAATTAGGAATCCAAAGCAAACGAGATAGGCCAGAAAACCCCACAAGAATTCAGCCCAGTTACAGAGGATGTTAACTAGGAGTTGATTTGAGATTCTGGGAGTGAAAGTACCTGTGTAATGGGTACTTCTTTCTGCGCAGGAAAGAGCTGGACAGACTTACACCAACATAGCTCAATCACTGTGACCACAGAAGGAAAACAGAAAACTTTCCCATGCAATAAAGCCCTAAGGCAGTCTCTGCAATGCTGCTACCTGCTGTTCCAAGAAGTTAAAGGACAAGGTTTTCTTCTGGCTTCAAGTTTTCCTTTTTCCCACGAGATGGCAGCCTATGAACGCTGCGGGAAGGTTACATCCACCTCAAAAATACACAAATACAAGATTCTGCTGGGGATCACCTTTCTTACAAACTACTTTTTGGTGTTAAATTGCTCAAAACAGAGAGTACACATGGAATTTAAAGATGCAGGAGACTGAGAAAGAATATTTTAAATGAAGATGGGGTTTAATATCAGTTAGCAGTGTACCTTCCCAACAGAGCTGATGTGCAATATTCACTATCCCCAAGCTTCTCAGCTAGAAAACTGAGAACCACTAGGGTCAGGTAGGAGATTTGTGTAAGAATCCATACTCTCTATTCCCTTGTAAACAGAGCAGGCTTCATTTGCTCACATCAAAAAGACTTTCTGACCTCCTAACTTAGCAGATTACTGCCTTCAGCAAAAAATTGCTGGCTCTTATCATCCAGGGGTGTTAAGGAATGGAGATGTTTTACAGATGTTTTATATGCTGGTGATCCAATCCGCTACAGTCAGTAGCTTGTGACAACTAGAACGTTAAGCACTCCTTTTTGTATTTGCAGGCTGGTTTTGTTCATCTTCATTACATGTCTAAAATACCCCACAGTTCTCCCAGTGAACTTTCACTCCAGGATACAGACTCCCTAGATGTTCTGATCTTAGGCTTTTCTACACAATTGATCTTAAGCCTCAGAATCTAGTTGATAGCCTGTCAACTCACTTGACCAAAATCACACAGCTTTTCTATGGCATTTGATCCCTGCACTGCAGACATCCTGCTGTACCACTACCGCGCTTCCCACAGTTCACCTCAGTCCTGCTCAGCAGTCTGGGCTACCCAGCACTGGAATAGTCCTGCAGACAGGCAGTACTGCAGCAGCTCAGCAGCAGTCAGCCAGAAGGACCTGATTTCAGCCACCCCAACATTACCTGAGTAACCTGGCAGGCACTGACAAAGGAAGCCATTAACAAGGTCCACGCAGAGCCCTCCATTCTGACACGGCTGGGACTCACACTCATCAATGTTAGTAAAGCAGGTCTCCCCTTCAAAGAGAAAACACAAAGAGGCATCTTGAGTGCACAAATAAATACATCAGTGAAGGAAAGAAAAAATGTGAAGGACAACTGCATTTCTGATTTTTTGCACTTCTTTTCTGTCATCTAAAAATGAAAAAGAATTTCTTGAACTATACCATGTCTCTCCAGACACTCTGGCAAATAGATACTATCACCAAAACAATTAGGGCAAATCAAGTACAGAAAGGTCAGATGATTTTCCAGTGTCATGAAAGGGAGCAGCGGCAGGATCAGAGCTTCTGAACCATTTCCAGCTCTGCATTTCATCATCATTTCCATCTCTTTTTTTTTCTCAGAAAATAATAAAGTAATATTGTTTAGCCCCTCTTATGAGGGAATTTCCCTAGCTGTTAAATCCAGCCTTTTATACACATCTATAAACCAGGGAAAGGGTGATAAATTTCAGTTGAACATCCACAGAGCTTTTAGCTCCTTGTGCAAGACATCAAGAATCCCCTCTTCTCCTACCCACTCTGATTATACAGTTGCTGTCATGAGAGTAGTCTCATCAAGGAAACACCTAGAAGTTATCTAAGACTCCAGGGAATTCCTTTCCTCTGATGAGAAGTTTCACAGATATCCCGCAGGGATGAATTCTGCCATATGCATGAGAGACTGACAAAGAGAAACCACCTTGGCATCTGCATAGCCAGAGGGCATTCATCAAAGCACTTGGAAAGCTCATAGGCTGTTCCCTCAGCCTTGCGACAGGCTTGCTGGACAGAGAATGACATTCCGACAGCTGTCTGCAATAGATTCATACAGTACGTGAACCAAAGCACGTTCCTGATGCCACCTCCTCTTAAGTACCAGTCGTTAAGTGATTTTTGTTGCACGGATAACATCGCTCCATTCCTATCTACTCAAAAGATGCAACGTCCATCAGGTGCAGACAGGATTTACTGCACAGCTCACCTGCAAAGCCTGGCTGGCACCGACAGAGGAAACCAGCTGCTTGGCTATAGCTGAAGTTACTGGGGAAGTCAGGTCGTGTTCCATAATAGGCTTGGTTGGATCGCTCAAAGCATACACCTCCGTTGTGACAGGGATCTGTTGCACACTCATCCACGTCCTTTTCACAGTGCTGCCCTGTGTAACCTGCCAGGAGACATCAGTGTTAATGTCACGCACAACTTCACTGGAACTAGTCTCTCAAATATTGTGCCTGCCTTGAAGGTGGGAATAAGACCCAGAAGACACTGCAGCTCATCTAGTAGGGAGTCTCAGGGTTCTCCACTAGGCCAAAGGAAGTGGCCAAATAATCAATTTGCAGGAAAGCATTACCTCATGATAGAAAAACACATAAAGGAAAAAGGCAGAAAAGAGAAAGAAAATTTCGTTGTTGAGAATCAGGGTGCATTTAGAATCATAGAATCATAGAATCGTTAGGGCTGGAAGGGGCCTTCAAAGGTCATCTAGTCCAACCCCCCTGCAAGGAACAGGGATATCTCCAACTAGATCAGGTTGCTCAGGGCCTTGTCCAACCTGGCCTTGAACGTCTCCAGGGATGGAGCATCCACCACCTCTCTGGGCAACCTGTTCCAGTGTTCTACAACTCTCATGGTAAAAAATTTCTTCCTAATATCCAACCTGAATCTACCTCCCTCTATTTTAAAACCATTACCCCTTGTCCTATCACAACAGGCCCTCCTGAACAGCCTCTCCCCATCTTTCTTGTAGGCCCCCTTGAGGTACTGGAAGACCGCTATAAGGTCACCCCGGAGCCTCCAATTGCATTTCCCAGCAATCAGGTCACTTGGATCTTGGGATGGCCTGTAAAGGGCAGCAGTGGCAGCCTCACTGTTACAGACAATGAAAAAAAAAAAAAATATCACACTGGACCATGCAGTGTGATCATAAATTCTTGACTTCTTCAACACAGCAATTTAGCATGTGCTCTCCCTTGCACTGTGCCTACATGCCAGCACAGTAAACAGATTTCTAACCTACCTGGCCAGCAGGCGCAGCTGTAGTTTTTGATTCCCTCCACGCAGGTGGCACTGTTCAGACAGGGTTCAGAGGCACACTCCAGGATATCCAGCTCACAGTGGTCTCCCTCGAAGCCTGTGTCACTGCAGTCACACCGGTAGCTGTGGGGCAGCAAAACAGAACAATGCATAAGCTGTCAATTTGACTGCAAAAGCCAGTATGAGGAAAGAGCAAACGGAACTAAGCTGTTAGTCCTCATGCCCACTTGTGAGGCAGAGGAAAAAGACAGTTCCATCTGCATGAACAGGCTACACTAACGACAGAGAAGACAACCCTCCGCAGCTTCTGAGTTCACACCTTACCTGCGTAAAGGTAAATTCCAACACATAGGTATGTTCTCAGCAGCTGCCTTTGCTGTTTGGGCTCTGCAAATCACTCCCCTTGGTATCTGATATGTCTGCTGGAAGCAGTAACAGGAATCTCCTTCTACCTTCCTTTAGGCATTCTAGGAGTTTGCTGGAGGGAGGGGCCTTCTCCCTTACTGCCATAAATCACTCTGTTACTGCCACTGGAACCACTGTCATGTACAAAACACTAAATCCAATTGCCCCACAGACTTCTACTCTGACAGGTTACACTAAGTAGACCTTTAGATCAGTCCTGGTATCTAATTGCCCAAAGAACACTGATTTCTCACCTGTTAACAAGGTCATGACATGTCCCCTCGTGCAGGCATGGCTGGCTCGCACATTCATCCATGTCCACCTCACATTGGATTCCTTGGTAACCTGGTGCACAGACGCAGGTGTAGAACCCAACATGATCATTGCACAGGGCCCCATTCTGGCAAGGGTCTGAATCACATTCATCTATTTCAGCATCACAGTTCACACCTTTGTTACAAAACAGAGAAATAGCTGTGTTACAAATCCAGAAAAGTATATTTATGCTGCCTGGATTTCTGAGCTGGAATCCCAAAAGTCACGTTATCAACTCAAACTGGCTAGCATAGTGTTCTAATTTTGCCGTAAGCATACTGGGAGCTCATAAAAGGTGTGCGATTCTTACAATTTAAGGACATTTAATTTTTATTTGCAAACAAAACAATTTTGTCGAGACTTTTGGATTTTAGTCTTCTATCCAAACTAAAACTAGTTTCCAGTATTTGCAAAGCTTTATAGTCTCCTTCGTTGAGGTTTGTTGAAGTAGCCAACCAGTCAGCACTTCACAAGTAACATTCATTTTCTGAGTAAGCCAAAAAAAATCTTGATCTCGTATACAGCTCTTAAAAATCTAATGGTAGCTTGTTTTGGTTTGAGATCCTTTGAGGGCAGGGAGGACAGGGATGGGAAGAGAAGAATCACACTGCTAGTCAGTGTTATTTAAACTTTTATATATGATATAGCTCTTACAGTTTTAGTTAGACATGGTACTCTTCACTTGTGTTGCGTTGCTATTTATCAGATCCAGTGTTCTACATCAGAGGCAGTTGCATTTTGGGTATGGGAAAAGTGATCTCTACCTGCTTCTCCAAAACATTGTTCCATTTGTTTAAATAATATTTGTAACTTGCTCTGAGATACCTAGGAAAAAAGCATTAAAGCAGTGCAAAATGCTAATTACAGTGATAGTAGATATTAGTAATTTTGTTATGAAATGCTATTAAAAATTAGCAATTAGCTCCAATACTACTAGTCATGAATAACAGCAGATCACGCATTTTTGGTCCAAAGTCTCAACTTTCCCTGACAGAATAAGACCTCTTGCGCGACTTCCATGCAACTAACTATCTTACCATTCCACCTCTTTTGAGCTGTCCGTGGCCTGGCATCACCTCCAAACTTTAGCCATTACAGTGGCACCTGCCAATCCATCTAATCTCCCCTTCTTGGCAAAGGCTCACCACATAGTGGACGTGGTCGCCCTAATCCTGACGGAATGCGGGCCCCCTAATCTGCTGCTCCAAACCCGTCAACACCCACGCAAAACTTCCTTCACCCAAATTCCAGCTGCAGGCACCAGGAAACCACCTGACCTTGCTAGCCAATGGTGCCGGAAGCTCTGGATGAAGCACTAGATCATAAGGCAAAGCTTCATATTTCACATCAGAATAACTTGGAGCACAACAAGCTCCCCCAGCTCTCGGGGTCATTTTATCACTTCCTTGGCAGGGGAATCCCACAATTCTGAATTCAGCTTGAAGATAAAAAAGAAACTGATTTGCAAAGACAAAATTATGCTTGATACTCAAAATCAGTAATAGTCTTAAGGCCTACATAGAAATTCTCCTTTTTTTTTTCTCTTTCATCTCTGTTCATTTTTATCAAGAGAGTGAGTCAGCATCAGGGACTGCATTCCTGATGTTGTAACTTCTCCTCATTCCACTGGCAATCAGCAGCATTCCTTCAACCTAACTCTCTATAAACACTTCAGTCTGACAACGAGGAAGGCTGAGAAAGTGCATGTGCTAGGTGGTACCAGGCAGACATGGGTGCAGTACAACTGCATTCCACTCCGATAAGCAGGGCTGGAGGGAGAACTCCCCACTACCTCCCTCACAGATAACTCGCAGGTGTAGATTACTCTCTGAGTCACCATTAGCACAGATGCTCAAAAAAGAGATACTTATGTCACATGCCAGAAAACATTCACCGGGCACGAAAGAATCAGAAAAGAAATCTCCAACTAAAAGCCACTTTATTCCAAAAAGACTACTTCCCTCAGAGAAATCCTGCAGGGCAGGACAAAGACCTACAGGCCAGATAGGCTGAGATAAGTTATACCTGGAAACGCTAAGAATACATTTCCTGATAATAAATATATTCTCTTGTATCTCCCTTAATTTCATACTGAGAGCTAATCACATCTCCTTTGTATCTAGTACTCCAAGTCTCAGATAGTCCACTCACTTTTACTCTTAGATCCACGTCTCTCAACATCCACACCATCCACGGAAATCAAAGCCTCAACTATTTCCCGGAAGCCGCAACAACAAGCCCTAGGCCGTTATTCACATACCATTTCAAACACTCCAGAAACATGAGTTGTGCAACAGATTTCAGTCTCATAGCTGTGAAACAACAGCTTCTCAGGACAGCTACAAACACTACAAGAGACAGCAGCAGCAGGCAAATCGTGGAACTACATGAACAGTGAGACATACCCCAACCACCCGGCTAGTACATGAGCATGAAAGGTACCTGTGTAGCCGGGGATGCACTGGCACAAATAGTGATCCATCTCATTCAGGCAGGTGCCATTGTTTCTACAGGGCCGGGACGCACACTCGTTGATGTCTATTTCACAGTTGTATCCTTGGAACCCAGGCACACAGAAACAGCTATACTCATTCACCCTGTCTCGGCAGATGGCTCCGTGCTGGCAGGGGCTGGAGGCGCACTCATCAATGTTGTCTCCGCAGTTGGCCCCGGTGAAGCCAGGCTGGCAGATGCAGGTATAGTCCCCAGGACCCTCGACACATGTCCCGTTATTTAGGCAGGGGTGGCTAGAGCACACAGAGCTTTCTGTTTGGCAGCCTTCTCCATTCAGTCCTGTTTGGCATTTACAGGTGTATCCATTTACACTATCTACACATTCAAAACGAGGATCTTTACAAGGGTTGCTCTCACACTCATTAATATTAATGTTACAATCAATACCTGTGAAGCCAGGCATACAGATGCATTCATATTCCAGGAGTCCTCGAGTCCCGTTGCAAATCCTATGGGCAGGACACTCATGTTTAATGCATGCGTCATAGAGGAGCTCACAGTTCACACCCATGTAGGCTACGGGCTTCATGAGGCAGGTGCACTGGTAACCCACTTCCAAATCCTTGCAGCTCCCACCATTTTCACACGGGGATGAGGAACAGCTGCTATCATTTTCAGAGTATGAAGTTCCTGTTAAGAAAAGAGACTTTTTGTTAGTCAGCATTTGTAGCCCTAAAGAAGAAAGTTTTTCTGCTGATCACCACATACAACTCAGAGATTCCCCTCCTAAATTCCACACTTCGAGGCACTGTTCTAGCCATTGGCTAAGAAGGATACTGGAGAATCAAACATTTACTATAAAGAAGACAACACAACATGCCTTCTTATGATGGCAATCGGGAATTTCTTGCTAAGTCAGGTGACCCGTTTTTAGGAGGCACTCACAAATCAACCATTTTACTTGTGCTTATTCATCCCTGAATCCCTTGGAGAGCAGTGAAACATATCACCTTAACTCCATTCACAAGATGAACTTTGCGTAAAATTCAACGACCCCTTTCACTGGTAGGGCACCAGACTTGTGCTCTGAAATCCGCAGAGGCAGATGGCATGCTTTAAGATAATGGCTGTGGCTCTTCGCATCCCAGCTGCTCCTTCTGGGGACACAAGTTTTTCTCAGCTAATCCACTAGTGATTTGAAGATGTTGCCATAAACAATCCAACCCAAACTGGCACATTTCACACAGTCTCTGATTACATCAAGCAGCTCAGTTTGATTAACCACTGGCCAGGCACCCTCTCCCCACAGGTTACACATGTGCATTTACACAGCAGGAAATTTTTAGGTGTTACAAGAACAGCAAAGAAGAGCAGAGACTGATGAGACTCACTGTACTGATGGCATTTTAGATCCAAACTCTGCAGAGCTAAAACATTGGCCTATTATCCAGATACCAGCAACTAATGTCAGGACCAGATTCCCCTAAATCTGGGAACATTCAGATGCTATCACTTTATTCACACCCAGCCACAATGCCTTGCTGTCCCAAAAACGGCAGTTTAAAAGGCTCTTGACCCATTATGCAATTCCACTATCCAGAAATGTGATAGGACATGCCCATGGGACTGCAAATTTAATTCATATAAATAAGGTTACATATGACATATGATATAAAAAACAAAACCTGTTCACTTTAGATATTTGTCAATAGAGCAGAATAGAAGAATAAGAGCAGTCCTCGTTTCTTTTCTAAAAGAAATTTCAGATTCACTTTGGGAAGCAATCTGATTGGTCAAAGGGCAGAACAACCAGGGGACAGGAGACAGTTGCCTTAATATTAGAATTAGGATATATGCTCTGGACTCAATAATACAATTAAACGCTTTCCAAAGGACAAAAAAAAAGGTATAAAGGGACAAAGGCAATATAAACAGAGAACTTCTTCCTTCACAAAGGCAGCAGTCAGCTGTGGGGCAGACATACCCTAGACCGATTCCTGCGTAAGTGGTATGAAACATCCAAAGTTGGGAGTAACTCTGCAGACAACTGCATAGTAGATGTTTTGGAAATGTCTGTGAAAAACAGCCACAAAGCATATGTAAAGCTCACAAACCAGCAAATGGTATCTGAGAAGTAGCTACTACTTGGTGAGACAATCCTGACTTTGCCCAGCATTGGAAGCCAAGCAATCACTAGCATTTAACCTTGCTTCTGGATGCCTTTGTGTAAACAGCTCTTTGCCCTTTTTGCTGCCTTCTGTCCGTAGCTGTGGGCCAGCTAGTGCCAGAATCGGCTCTGGCAAACTCCACAAGTGCAGGTGGAGAGCGGGCAGTTACTCCGTACAGCTCTGACACCAGGC